GACAAAGAGCAACCAATTGAAAAAAAAAAGGAAAAAGAAAAAGCTCGCCGGCAGAGTGTGCACGATGCATATGCAACAGGCCCCACGCACGACGCGCACCAACCCACTCTAATTAGCTCCGCCGGCGACCGAGTCATGGAAGTAAACAAGCCATTTTCTTGCCCTCGGGATGCCCTCCTCGTCACTTTTTGGATGGGGGGGGTAGGGGGGCGGCGCTGGTCAGGTGTCGGGAAATTCTTTTTCTCGTTTCGTCTGCTTGTTGTTTTTTGTTCTTGTTCTTGCTTTTTGTTTCTTTTTTTCTCCACCTTCTCTTTCTTAGGGTTTGAGGATTCCCGATTTTTGTTTCTGGGTTTCGAGTATTTCCGTTTTCTGTTTCTGGGATTGGGGGATTCTCGTTTTCTGTTTCTAGGTTCGAGAATTCCCGTTTTCTCTCTCTGACTTTGGGGATTACCGTTTAATGTTCCTGGGTTAGAGAATTCCCGTTTTCTGATTCGGGGTTTGAGAATCACCGTTGTCTGTTTCTGGGTTTTGGGATTCCCGTTTTCTGTTTCTGGGTTTAGGGATTCCCGTTTTCTGTTTCTGGGTTAGAGAATTCCCGTTTTCTGTTTCTGGGTTCGTTCGTTACCGTTTCCTATTTTGAAAAACAGACAGAGAGAGAAATACTAACAAAGAAAACAGAAGAAAGCGAAAGAGATGAAACAAACTTAGAGAAAGTAAAAAGAAAACTAAATTTTAAATCGTATCTCCCCGAACGGATTTCTTGATGGGAATGCGGGTACGATAATCATTATTGTTATTGTTATTATTATTATTATGGTAATACTGTATCTTTTAGAACGGATTCCTGCGATTGAGTCCGAGAGGATTAGCAAGCCGAAGCCGAAGCCGTAGCCGCGTTCGCACAAGTAGTCGATGTCCCGGATGATGGACGTTTTGGTCCCATTATAGCGCCATTTTTCTTTCTTTCTTTCTTTCTTTTTTGTTCTTGTTATCTATTATTTTCTTTTTTCTTGTATTTTCTTTTTTTTATCTTTTGTTTTTTGTAATCGTTTTGAATAGGCTGTGTGTGTAAATTCCTTCATGTTAATGTATGTACGAACGTCCGCGTATATTTGTGCACATGTATGTATGCGTGTGCGCCTTTGTGCAATGCATTTCCATAAGAAAACACGACAGAAAAACAAAAAAACAAAAAAAAAACGTCATTGGAAAACCGAAGGAGAATTTTTCAATCTTGTGTTATGCCTAATCCAATAACATTATGTAGGAAATTGCTTGTTTGAACTCTGTTGCATTTGCTTGATGGCACAGGGGGGGGGGGATCAGGTGGGGGATGTTTGTGTGTATGGGTGTGTTTATTGATTTGGGCGTGTGTGTGTGAGTGTGAGTGTGTGAGTGTGTGTGTGAGAGAGAGAGAGAGAGAGAGAGAGAGAGAGAGAGAGAGAGAGAGAGAGAGAGAGAGAGAGAGAGAGTAACAGTAACAGTAACAGTAAGAGAGATAGATAGAGAGAAAGAGAGAGAACGTATTTGTGTTTTTGCCAACGGCCATAAATCTCGACCGCATATTAATCTTCATTACATCGCCATCAGTCACAAACTATAGCCAACACCCTCTCTCTCTCTCTCTCTCTCTCTCTCTCTCTCTCTCTCTCTCTCTCTCTCTCTCTCTCTCTCTCTCTCTCTCATAGAGAGAGATAAATAGATAAAGATAGAAAATAAATAAAACTGATTACAAAGCAGAAAGATAACGAATAGCAAGGAAAAAAAAAGTACAAAGATAATGACAGTGGCTCTAATAATGATAATGATGATGGTGATATTAACAGTAGCAATAATAGCAATGGTGATAATGGTGATACTGATATTAATATTAATGGCAGTTGCAATAACACTAATGATAGCAATAATAGTGATAATAATAATAACAGTGACGATGATGATGGTGATGATAATAATAATACTGATAACAATAAGAATAACTATGGTATAATAACAGCAATAATGATAAAAACAACAACAACAGCAATAATAATAATGATAATAATAATATTGATAATAATAATATTGATAATAATAACAATAATAATAATAATAATAATAATGATAATAATAATAATAATGATAATAATAATAACAATAATAATAATATTATTATTATTATTATTATTATTATTATTATTATTATTAATAATGATAATAATGAAGTGCCACGGATGAGAGTCGAGCGAAGGAGCCGCTCGTCGGGCGGAGCCACAATGGCGGCCGCGCGCTTCCTTCCTGCTCTTTCTCGGAGCTTCTGGGCCCTTGCCCCCCCCCCTCTCCCTCTCTCTCTCTCTCTCTCTCTCTCTCTCTCTCTCTCTCTCTCTCTCTCTCTCTCTCTCTCTCTCTCTCTCTCTCTCTCTCTCTCTCTCTCTCCCCCCTTTCCCCTCTCCCTTTTTCCTCTCCCTCTCTCTCTCTCTCTCTCTCTCTCTCTCTCTCTCTCTCTCTCTCTCTCTCTCTCTCTCTCTCTCCCCTTTCCCCTCTCCCTTTTCCTCTCCCTCTCTCTCTCTCTCTCTCTCTCTCTCTCTCTCTCTCTCTCTCTCTCCCTCTCTCTCTCTCTCTCTCTCTCTCTCTCTCTCTCTCTCTCTCTCTCTCTCTCTCTCTCTCTCTCTCTGTCTCTCTCTCTCTCTGTCTCTCTCTCTCTCTGTCTCTCTCTCTCTCTCTCTCTCTCTCTCTCTCTCTCTCTCTCTCTCTCTCTCTCTCTCTCTCTCTCTCTGTCTCGCTATCTCGCTCTCTCCCTTTCCCCTCTCTCACTTCCTCTCCCTTTCCCCTCTTCCATTTCCTCTCCCTCTCCCTTTCCCCTCTCCTCCCCCTCCCTTTCCACTCTCCCTCTCCTTTTCCCCTCTCCCTCTCCTTTTCCCCTCTCCCTCTCCCTATCCTCTCTCCCTTTCCCTTTCCCTATTCCCTCCCTCTATCTCTCCCTCTCCCCCCCTCCCTCCCTCTATCTCTCCCTCTCCCCCCCTCCCTCTTTCTCTCTTTCTCTCTCTCCCTCTCCCTCTCCCTCTCCCTCTCCCTCTCCCTATCCCTCACCCCTTTTCATGCACACGCATGCGCATACAGATACTGGTGCATACACGCCTACACACGAACAGGCACATATGAAGATAGATGCACACGCTAATGAGTATGTATAGTGTAGGTATAAACGTACGCACGCACACACACACACACACACACACACACACACACACACACACACACACACACACACACACACACACACACACACACACACACACACACACACACACACACACAACCAGCCATCTCCTCTCTCTCTATCCTTAGCCCTCCTTCCTCTTCGCCCCCCCCCCCCCCCCCATACGGAGATGTTCCCCAATTTGAGGGGACGGAAGGAGTGACAGTATTTCCCGAAGGAAGGGAGACTGACTGGCAGGACCCCCTCCCCCTCCCCCTCCCCCCCCCCCTCCTTCCCCTCTCTTCTTCCCCCTCTTGTCTCACTTTCCCCGTCTCTTTACTCTCCCATTCCTTCTTCTCGTCTCCCTTACGTGCATCCTTTCCTCTCGTTTCCTTTCTTTTTCTTTCCTCCTCCTCCCCCCCCTCCCATTTTCCTTTTTCCATTCATTCTCCTATTCTCTCTTGTCCCCTCTTTACACTCTCTCTCTCAGTCTTATCTCTCTCTCTCTCTCTCTCTCTCTCTCTCTCTCTCTCTCTCTCTCTCTCTCTCTCTCTCTCTCTCTCTCTCTCTCTCTCTCTCTCTCTCTCTCTCTCTCTCTCTCTCTCTCTTTCTCTTCTGCCTAATTCCTTCTCCTCTCCCTTCATTTCTAGAGAGAGAGAGAGAGAGAGAGAGAGAGAGAGAGAGAGAGAGAGAGAGAGAGAGAGCATTCGTATGTCTTGGAATGTCTACTCGAAGAATAATTTATTCCCGCGCTCTCTTGCCAGAAAACGGTAACAATAAACAGTAAAAAAAATAAAAAAATAAATGGGAAATGAGAAAATCGATAAATGGATAGAAGGAAGAGGTACGAGATAAGATATTGGTCGTTTCTGAACTTTTATCGCGAGGAAGAATCGATGAGGAGGAGTAGAAGCAGGAGGAGAAAGAGAAAGAGAAGAAGGAAAAGGGGAAAGAAGGAGAAAGAGAAGAAGGAAAAGGGGAAAGAGAAAGAGAAGGAGAAGAAAAAGGTGGAAAAGAAAAGAAAAAGAAGAAGGAGGAGAAGAAAAGAAAAAGAAGAAGGAGGAGGAGAAGAAAAAGAAGAAGGAGAAGAAGAAGAAGAAGAAGAAGAAGAAGAAGAAGAAGAAGAAGAAGAAGAAGAAGAAGAAGGAGAAGAAGAAGGAGAAGGAGAAGGAGGAGGAAAAGGGGGGGAGGGGGAACGTAGCGCTAAGACAGACACCAATTTTGGGAAAGAGAGCCACGGCCCCTCGAAGTTGGACGAGGCTGATGGACAGGCGGAGAGACAGGCAACACGACGGTGGAAGAGGAGGGAGGGAGGGAGGGGAGGGGAGGAAGGGGGAGGGAGGGAGGGGAGGAAGGAAGGGAGGGAGGAGAGGGAGGGAGGAAGGAAGGGAGGAGGGAAGGGGAGAGAGGGAGAGGGAGGGAGGGAGGGAGGGAGGGAAGGAAGAAAGGAAGGAAGGAAGGAAGAGGGGGAAAGAGGGAGGGATGAAGGTAAGTAAGGAAAGGAAAGGAAAGGAAGGGAGGAAGGAAGGAAGAAAGAAAGAGGGGGAAAGAGGGAGGAACTGGGAAGGAGAGAGAGAGGAAGGGAGGGAGAGAGGAAGAGAGAGAAAATGCAAGAGGGGGAATGGGGAGGGAGAAAGACGTGAATGAAGGAGGAGCGGGAGAGATAGAAATTACCCGTGAAACTGACAGAAAGAGGGTGGGCGGAAAGGGAGGGAGATGGGGGGGGGGAAGTATAGAGGTGACCTTTGCTAGAACAACCATATCCTTTTCTTTTCTTCGCAGCTTTTGAAAGGTACTAACGATTTCCATCTCTTCCTTGCAGGTGTAAGGACGAGCAGTGAAAGCCGCGGAGGAGAGATCGAGGACCACCTTGAGACGATGAGGACAACAGCCAAGACACACGGCGAGTGAACGAGTGCCACGTCATAACCAGAGCGTGACGTCACACCCTATACTGTGACGTCATCCAAGAAGAAAAATCAAAGAAAACGGTACATTGTTTTCCCGAAGGGGGATACTGCAAAGAAGGGTTTGGAAGCAACGGTTCAGAAGAGGTGCTGAGTTGTTGGCATGTTCTCTGGTGATGAGACAGCGGGAGATCTCAGCGCTGCCTGCCCCTGCGACGAGTGGTGGTGCTGAAACAGCCCTTGCCGGGAGGACCTGAGCGAGGAAGAGAGAGAGAGAAAGCGAAGGAGAAAATAAGAGAGAAGGCAAGGTCGACAGGACTCGGAGTCCAGAGGCAGAGCGAAGCGAGACCGAGGCAGAGCAGCGACCGGCCCCGACCAGCCGGAAAGACGCGCCCCTGCGAGGCAGAGCGAGTTCGAGGGACCGCTGGCGAGTCGCCCGGAGCCGCCGCGGCGAGGCGAGGGCAGGGCAGCAGCGCCGACGGCCGCCGAGCCACGTTGGAAGACCAAGGGATCATCGAAGGAGCCGCCGCTGCCGCGTCCTCGGTGATCTTGCGGATCAGCGTCCCGTCCGCGCGCCAGCCCTCCAGGAGGAACAGGAGCGTCGCCCGCCGAAGGTCGCAGCCGCGGAGGAGGAAGGAAGGAGGAGGAGAACAGGAAGAGGAGGAGGAAGACGAAGAGAAGAGGGACGAGGAGGAGGAGGAGGAGGACCGCCGCCAGCGGCACCGCCACCACCACCGCCAGCGCCGCCTCCTGATCAACTGCGAGGAGGAAGGGGACGACGAGAAGAGGAAGCTCAAGAGGAAGAAGCGGAAGGAAGAAGGCGACAACCGTCACTTCCTAAGGGTCAAGAAGAGGGAAGAGGAGGCGCGCAGCGAGGAGGAGAAGAGCCGTGCGAGCGAGGACGAGAGCCAGTCGCAGAGCCTCCCGAACAAGGCCAGGAAGAAGAAGGCCAAGAAGCGGGAGCCCCCCACCGCCGCCCCCCGCGCCCCCTCAGCCGCCACCACCACCACCGCCGTCAGCGCCTCCGCCAAGAGCGCCTCGAGGTCGACCTCCAAGCGAGCGGCGGCGTCCCTCCGGCTTCTCATCGAGGGGTTCAGCAAAATCACCGTGGTGGAGGTGAAGCTAGGCAAAGTCAGCAAAATTGGCGAGGCGACGACCACCCTGCCAGACGCACCTATGCCTCTTCTGAGTCCGCGGCCGAGTCCAAAGATGGCCACGCCCAGCAACTCCAGCCTCTTCTACACGGTCGAGGTCGGGGACACGCGTTTCACCATCCTCAGGAGGTACACCAACCTCAAGCCCATCGGCTCGGGGGCTCAGGGCATAGTCTGGTGAGTGGCCTCTTGGTTTTAGCTCTTCTCTCTTCCCATCTCCGTTTGTTGGGCCTTCTCCTCTCTTCTGTCTGGTCTGCCTCTTCCTCTCCCTTCCCCTTTGGTCTTCTTCTTCCTCTCTCTGTCCCTTTGGTCTTCCTCTTACACTGCTCTATCCACTTCTTCATCTGTTGTTCTTCCTCCATTTTTCCAGCTGTTCTTCTCTTCCACTTCTCTGCCTTCTTATCTATGTTTTCTTCCTCTTCCAGTGCTCTGTCCATTCCTTCTCTATCTGCTGTTCTTCCTTCATTTCATTATCACTTCTTTTTCATTTCTCCACTTTATCCTCTTCTCCTTCTTGTAACTGTTTTCTTCTACTTCTTCAGTCATTCCTGTTCCTCTTTTTTATCTATATGCTTCTTCCTCTTCTCTGTCTTCCCTCTTCCACTCCTCTGTCTTCATCTATTTACATCTTTCACTTCATCTCTGTCTTTCTGATCATTATCATTATCTATACTTACTCTTCAATTCTTCTCTATCTGTTCTTCCACTTTTTCCCCATTATTTCTTCCACTCACTTCTCTATCGTTTCTTCCTCCTTCTCAGCTCTGTCTTTTCTTCCTCTTCCACATCTCTCTGTTGGCCCTCTTCCACTTCTTCCCCATCTATTCTTCTATACATGAAAAAATGGAAAAAAGTTGAGATAGAACAAAGGGAATGTAAAGAGCAATGAGTAGCAGGAGACAGACAAGTAGAAATAGATTTTTGAAAGTAAGGGTTAAACAGTAGAACAAAATAAATCCTTCCGTTACCCTGACGTCAAACCTGGGATTTAGTTTTCTACAATTAAGTCATAATGAGGTATTTTAGGGCCGCCAAACACATGAAAACCTTTGGTATTAAGGGAGTCCAGGTATGGTACAAGCTGCTAGATCTCAAATAATGCAAACCATTATTATTATTATTTTTACACATTAAAAATACCCATCTACCTGAAAACACAAATTGCCATGCCCAGTCATCAGGGAAGGGTAGCGTCAGTGGCATTCGTACAGCTGCCATCACACCCATGTCACAAAATGCTCTGCCTCCTGGAACACGTTAGAGCTAGGAGTGAGCTGTTGGTCTGTGTTGATACATGTACAGTCAGGAAAAAAAGAGAGTATCGTTACCCTTTGCACAAACTAATATGAAAAACTCGACAATGTGGTGTGGAATAACGAGCAAGTTAGGACCATAATCCGAAAAAAGTGTTCAGCTCCTGATTGACCACAAGTGAAGCTAATGATAGTTTTTAAAATTATCTGACTGTACATACATACTTATCTTTTATTCTTTTAGAACTGTTTGCGTGATTTTTTTTTTTTTTTTGTGAATTACATAATAGATAAAAAATAAGAGTTCATGCAGCCTTGTGGCAGCATAAAATAAGATTTTATTGAATATTGATTGGATTACAGAGGAAGAGAAGTAGATTTGATATCATGAACATAATGAAGAAATAAAATAAAACTAGGAGTTAAAAGTCTAGTAAAACCCTGTCTTTTTCATCGTAATGAAATACACAAAGATGGCATATAACTTGTTTTTCTCTCTCTCGTTTTGATAAATATTTATTACTCCATTACACAGCCTAATCTAGAGATTTAGTAGACCATAAATATTCTCTTCACACATTCAAATTAACAGTCAAACTTCCACACATTATGGCAGCCATATTTCACCGATGGATTTATGTTAGCTTTGTGTTTATCAGACTATTCGTAGGCAACTGAAAAATGAGCGGCAAATTACATGATTGGAAAGGAATATATGCTCTTAATTGTATGCTTGTATTTTTTTTTTTTTTTTTTTTTTTTTATAATTATCTTTTATGTCACATCCATTTGCTTATTTGCATATTAAGCTGGATGAAACTTATAATGGTTTTATTCTTAACTGTTTCACTTATGTGAATTATAATGAAGTTAGCTGGTTGTAGATTAGCCGTTAAGTGATATAAACTTTATATATATTTCATATCTCTCTCTGCCATGCCTGAACTCTTTCTTTTTCTCTCTTTCTCCCTCCCACTATGCTCCCACACTCTCTCCCTCTGTTTATTTATTCTCCCTATTTTCTTTCTCCCCCACTCTCTCATTCCCTTTTCCTTTCTCTCTCTTTCTCTTCCCCTCTCTCTCTCTCTACCCTTCTTCCTTTTTCTTTCCCTCTCTTCCTTCTGTCATTCACCCCTTTCCTTCCTTTCTCTCTTGCTCTCTTGCTTCCCTCCCTCCCTCTCTCTCTCTCTCTCTCTCTCTCTCTCTCTCTCTCTCTCTCTCTCTCTCTCTCTCTCTCTCTCTCTCTCTCTCTCTCTCTCTCCTGTTCCCCCCTTTCCCATCCTGCTCCCCCCTTTCACCCCCCTTTCTTCCTCTCAAAAATTAACATACTATTATTCTTACACATATACAATTAAAAGAAAAAAGAAAGAAAAAAAAAACACTTTTAAAGACTTTTAACCTTAATTCTAATTATCTCCCCCCCCCCCCCCCTTCCTCTCCACAGGTACACACTCACATGGACAAATTGTCCTTGTTCTTACTTTTTGTTCTTATCACATTTGTTTCTTTACAGCGCGGCATACGATTCTGTGACCCAGCAGAATGTGGCCATCAAGAAACTGTCGCGGCCCTTCCAGAACGTCACACATGCGAAAAGGGCATACAGGGAGTTCAAACTCATGAAGCTCGTCAACCATAAGAATGTGAGTCAATCATTTTTCTTAATCTGTTCAGTGTTTTGTTATTTTTCTTTATATATATATATATATATATATATATATATATATATATATATATATATATATATATATATATATATATATATATTTTTTTTTTTTTTTTTTTTTTTTTTTTTTTTTTTTTTTTTTTGACGTTTATTTTATTCTCTCTGTCTCTGGCACTCTCTCTCTTTCTGGCTCTCTCTCTCTCTCTCTCTCTCTCTCTCTCTCTCTCTCTCTCTCTCTCTCTCTCTCTCTCTCTCTCTCTCTCTCTCTCTCTCTCTTCTCTCTCTCATATCTCTATTTTATGCTCTCATCACTCTGTTCTCTTTTTCCTATCACTTGTTTTCTCACTTCCCTTCTCTTCTCTCTCTTCTAACCCCTTACCCTTTTACGTCCTCACATCCCTTTTCATTCTCTTTTCTCCTTTTTCGTCCCCTGTTTCTCCACCCTTCATTTCTCTGTTACAGCTCCATAATTTACAATTCCTATTAGTGCATTTTGCTCCCATAAAGATTGCTTTCAAAAGTATGCACAGTCATTGGCCATTCCATTACCCTGTGTGGTCGGCTGGAAGCAAGTATCGAGAAAGTTTGGGGTGTTTGATTGAATTTTCCCGTGGAAGTGGAAACGGAAGAGACATTTTGGTGGGAAGCTGCTTCAATTTGGGGCCCATGAAATTATCCTTTTCCCCCCCTTCTCCTCCTTCTTCGTCATAATTTAACATTATTGCGGAATTTGTCATCCAGGAGGAGCTGGGCTTAAAAGTTGATCATATTTTTTCCACGATCTCTTTTTTTTTAATTAAAATTTACTTTATTTTACGTATTTTTTCTTGTCTGGTAATTTTGTTTGTTTGTATTAAAAAATAATTCTATTTATTTATCTATTTATTTTTTTACTCCCTGGCCTTTGATCTGTTCTTAACTGCCGTGAAATCCCCTTCCAGATCATCGGATTGCTGAACGCCTTCACGCCACAGAAGTCGCTGGAGGAGTTCCAGGATGTCTACCTGGTGATGGAGCTCATGGACGCCAACCTGTGCCAGGTCATACAGATGGACCTGGACCACGAGCGCATGTCCTACCTCCTCTACCAGATGCTGTGCGGGATAAAACACTTACACTCGGCCGGCATTATCCATAGGGTGAGGACCTTTATCTCCTGTGAAGAGTCACTGGCCTTGTGAATGTACGAAAAGGCTGCTTTTGCTCCACCTCTTAAATAGCGCACTTTAGGTGTCGCCGAGGTGGTTAGAGTACCTAGAATAATGGTTTTTCATTTATATTTGTTTGAATAGATTTTTTTTTTTTTTTTGGAAATGATATATGATGCATTTTGACTGAGAGCCAAAGGGATAGATAGTTGTCATGGATTTTTTTTTTTTCTTTTTATTCTTTTTTTTTGTGTTGAACTTTGCAGTTTAATGTTATGCCACAATCCTCATTTCTTACACATCATGAATGTCATTAAAAAAATAATAATAATAAAAAAAGAAAGAAAAAGAAGGATACCAGGTCTTAATTTTTAACAAAATTATTGTACCTTTTTTTTTTCTACACCTTTAAGATTAATTAAAAAAAAAAACCCTCTCAAATTATAAACATTATCATCTTACAGGACCTGAAGCCTAGTAATATCGTGGTAAAATCAGACTGTACACTCAAGATCCTAGACTTTGGTTTAGCACGGACAGCTGGTACCACATTTATGATGACTCCCTATGTTGTTACTAGATACTACAGGGCACCAGAGGTAAGGCGCTGATTTGCGTTCCACACTTCTCCCTTTTTCTGTTTTTTGTGTGTGATATAGAGTCATGGCATGAAGAGTGAAAAGAAATCTCGAAGGTTGCTTTTCCCTGTTGGCTGTTCGTATCAAAGTCTGGAAAAGAATTCAGAAGATTTTTATTTTTTTTCTCTTCTTCCAGGTCAATCATTTTTTTAAAGATAGCATTTTTTTTTTTATACATATATACCTGTATAGATAGTTATACTTGATAATTTATCCCTTTGCAGTTTTATCTCAAGATGTATGTTTCTATGAACTTGTTTTTTATAATTAGTAGTTTATTTGCCTGTTTGATAAAGTGTAGTTTGGTAACTTGCTATTCCTCCATGATTTGAATTGATCCAATTAGTGATGATCTCCATATATTCTGCAGACTTTGTGATAAGTGAAAGAATCTTCAGGAGTAATTTAATTTGATATATCAGTCCATAAGAATCAGCCGTTTGAGCTTACAATAATCTCCAGATACCTGAACCAACTAAGCCTCACTTTGTGGGATATCGACTCATTTTTCAGGTTTTCAGGTGCGGTTCCCCCTCGTGCCTCTTAAATAAAAAAGCAAAAACAAATCTAGTCGAGTGTTTAGTTAGTAGAGGCATGAAGATAGGAGTTAGATGGAAGTGCCTCAACCCAATCATCCGTGAAGTGGAGTTTTACAGAATGTATTGCTAACTGAAGTGATCTTATCCTCCTCCTCCTCTCTTCTCTTCTCTTCTCCTCTTGCCTTGTCTTGTCTCTTCTTCTCTTCCCCTTTTTTCCTCTCCTCTCCTTTCCTCCTCCTCAATCTCTTCCTATTCCCTAATATCCACATTCACTTTATCCTCTGCCTCTACCCAATTTTCCTCTTCCTCCTCAATTTCTTCCTATTCCCTAATATCCACATTCACTTTATCCTCCCCAATTTTACTCCTCCTCCCCTCCCCTCGCTAAAATCCACGGCATCTTCCAGGTAATTCTAGGTATGGGCTATACAGAGAACGTGGACATATGGTCGGTCGGCTGCATAATGGGCGAGATGATTCGAGGAGGTGTCCTGTTCCCAGGGACGGATCACATTGACCAGTGGAATAAGATTATTGGTGAGCTTTGGCAGTGAGATCGGCTGAAGATTTTTGATTTGTTTAGATTTTTAAGATTTTTAGATTGATTCATTTTCTTTTCTTTTTTTCTTTTCTTTTCTTTTTTTTAGATGTATATAATGGGGTGAAAATGATTAACTTGTTTGTGGAATATGATTTTTGGTGAGCTTGGCCTTGAGATTAGCTGAAAAAATTTTATTTGTTTACATTTATTTTTTTATTTTTATTTATTTTTTATTTTTTTATAGATATATAATGAAGTGAAAATGCTTAACTTGTTTGTGTAAGGTGTATACTTGTGTTGTTGTTATTAGGTGTTTTAATATAATTAGAAATTTATATTATATGTAGTCTTCTTGTATGATAATATACTTCAGTCATATACATATATTCATAAAAAATTTAATATATTGCTGATTTAATTGTTCCATATTAATACATGTATGATATTCATTTGTGATTTATTGCTGTTTGAGAGGT